AGGCGATGCTCACAACGACGGCGCCCGCAACTGCATATGGTTGGGCCCTTCGCCTGGATATGTCTTAAAATGGATCGTGCACCCCCAGCAAGCGCACAAGGGCGTTCGAATGATTTCGATTTGCACGCGCGAGAGGCCCGTTAGGTCGCATCGGATTAAAATGCTGCGAAGCCACGGATGTCGTAACAAATTGTAAGAGCGCGCAAAGTTTCGCTTTGCAAAACGACGGTTTGTTCCCAACCATCCTGAGGAGTTGGGGCCTCGTTTCGAAAAGCCAGCGCCCTGCGTCTCACTTCTCCTCCTCCATTCCGACCTCCGCACTGGTCAACCATGTCGGCACAACCCTCACACGTTTCGTGGCCCCACAGGCAGTCTTACCGAAGGCCCCAATGGCTGCGTTCGCACGCGCACACCACACCCGTTTCGGCACACCACTTGCCCGCTTCGTGGCCCCACAGGGAGCTTCACCGAAGGCCCCAATGGCTGCGATCGCATGCGCTCACCGCACCTATGTTAGCTCACCCCACACACGGTTCGCGGCCCGATCGGGAGCTTCACCGAAGGCCCCAGCGGCTGCGTTCGCATGTGGCCACCACGCCCATGTCGGCACACCGCTTACACGCTTCGTGGCTCCATACGGAGCTTCACCGAAGGCCCCAGCGGCTGCGTTCGCATGCGCCCACCTCACCCACTTCGGTACACCCCTCACACGTTTCGTGGCCCCATCGGAAGCTCCACACAAGGACCCAATGGTGCTGTTAGCATGCGCCACCACCACATATTTCGGCACACGGGCCACACTTGTTGTGTCCCCACAATGAGCTTCACCGAAGGTCCCAATGGCGCAGCTCGCATGCGCCCGCGACGCGCATTTCGGTACACCCTTCACACGTTCAGTGGCCCCACATGGAGCCCCACCAAAGGCACCGTGGCTGCGTTCGCATACGCCCACTGCACCCATGATGGCACTCCGCATACGCTTCGTGGCCCCCTAGGGAGCTCCACCGAAGGCCCGAGCAGCTGCATTCGCATGTGGCCGTCCCTCCTATTTCGGCATGCCCCTCACACGTTCCGGGCCCTGCAGGGAGCTCCAAACGCCCCAGTTGCTGCGTTCGCATGTGCCCACCGTGCCAGTTTCGGCTCACCTATCACACGTTTCATTGCCCGATCGGGAGTTTCACCGAAGGCCCCAGCGGCTGCGTTCGCATGCGCCCACCACGCCCATGTCGGCACACCCCTCACATGTTTCGTGGCCCCTGCGGAAGCTCCACCGACGGCACCAATTGCTGCGATTGCATGCGCCCACCGCGCCCAGTCCCGCACATCCCTCATACGCTTCGTGACCCCACAGGGAGCCACACCGAAGGCCCCAATGGCTGCGATCGCATGCGCCCGCTGCACCCACGATGGCACATCCCTCACACGCTTCGTGGCCCCATTGGGAGCTCCACCGAAAACACCAGTGGCTGCGTTCGCATGCGCCCACCGCACCTATTTCGGCACACCCCTGACACGTTTCGTGGCCCCATCGGGAGCCCCACCAGAGGCCCCAATAGCTGCGTTCGCATGCGCCCACCGCACACATGTCGACACCCCTCACGCGTTTCGTGGCACCACAGGGAGGCCCACCGAAAGTCCAAGCAGCGGTATTCGCATGCGCCCGCCCCGCCTGTTTCGGCAGGCCCCAGTGGCGGTGTTCGCACGCGCCCGCCGCACCCATTTTCGGCACACGTTTCGTTTCCCCATAGCGATCGACACCGAAGCTTCCATCGGCGGTGTTCGCATGCGTCCGTCCCGCCCAGTTCGGAGCATCCCTCGCTCGCTCCGCGGCCTTACAGGGAGCTGCACCGAGGGGCACAGAGGCGGTGTTCGCTCGCGCCCGCCCCATTCACTCTCGGCTCACGACTCACACGCTTCGTGACAACATCGGAACTCCACTGCAGACCCCAGTTGCTGCGTTCGCACGCGTTCACCGCGCCAATTTCGGCACATTCCCGAAACGCTGCGTGGTCCCATAAGGATTGGGTCCTCCGTCAAGCTAACTCTGCAAAGGGCTTGTCGAAAATGATGGATCTTTGATCAACAAGTGCCCGCGCATAGTCTTATTTGACAGGGGAAGAAGGCGGGGATGAGAATATTAATCAAGATTTGAAACGGACGATGGGGCAAGGTCACATGTAAACTGTACTACCCCAAACAGAAACGATAAACCCGGTGGGGGGAACTAATTCCCAACCATCCCGTGGTGCTGGGTCTTCGTTTTGAAGAGGCAGCGCCCCGCGTCACCTCATCTCCCTCCTACTCCCTTCTCCATCCTCCCATCCTGCCTTTGCCCTCCGCACAACCGTATCGGCACCGCTCCGGCACGCCCCCCACACGCTCCGTGACCCCATTGGGAGCTCCACCGAAGACCTCCGTGGTGAGTTCGCATGCGCCCGCACTTCCCATGTCGGCACACCCCTCACACGCTTCGCTGCCCCTCAAGGAGCTCCACCGCAGGCCCTCGTGGCAGTGTTCGCATGCGTCCGCCGTACCAATGTGGGCACACCCTGCACACGCGCGCTTCGTGGCCCCAAAAGGAGCTCCACCGAAGGCATCTGCAGTGAGTTCGCATGCGTCCGCCTGGCCACACTTCAACACGCCCCTCACACGCTTCGTAGCCCCATAAGGAGGTCCACCGGGGCCTCCGCAGTGAGTTCGCATGCGTCCGCCTGGCCCACTTCGGCACACCATTCACACGCTTCGTGGCCCCACGGGGAACTCCAGCCAAGGCCCTAGTACTGCCGTTTGCATGCGTTTCCGCTACCCACTTCGGCAAGCCTTTCACACGCCTCGTTGCTCTCTAGGGAGCTCCACCCAAGGCCCCAAGGTTGCAGTTCGCATGCGTCCCCGCCACCCATGTCGTCACATCCCTCACACGTTTCGTGGCCCCATAGGGAGATCCACACAAGGCTTCAATGGTGAGGTTCGCATGCGTCCGCGCCACGCATTTCGGCATACCCCTCACACGCTTCGTGGCCCCATAATAAGTTCCACCCAAAGCCCCAATATTGCTGCTCGCATGCGCCCCCGCCGCCCATTTCGTTACATCCCTCACACGTTTCGTGGCCCCACAAGGAGCCCCGTCAAAAGGCACCCCCCCCAACAATTTCGGCACACTCGTCGCACGCTTCGTGGCTCCATAGGGAACCCCACCTGGCGCCGCTCGCATGCGTCACCGCCATGCGGTCCCATGGGGAGCTCCACACAAATCACCAGTCGTGCCGTTCCCATGCGTCCCTGCTAACCCTTTCGGCACACCCCTCACACGCTTCGTGGCCCCAGAAGGAGCGCAACCCAACGCCACAATGGTGTCGTTCGCGTGCGTCCCCGCCGCCCGTGTCGGCACACCCCTCATACGCTTCGTGGCACCATGGGGAGCTCCACCCAAGGCCCCAATGGTGCCGTTCGCATGCGCCCCCGCCACCCATTTCGGCACACCCCTCACGTGTTTCGTGGCCCCAGGAAGAGCCCCACCAAGCGGCACCAATGATATCCTTCGCATGCGTCTCCTCCACGAGTTTCGGCACAAGCCTCGCACACTTCGCGGCCCCACAGGGAGCTCCACACAAAGCCCCAATGGTGCCGTTCGCATGCGCTCCAGCCACCTATTTCGGCACACCCGCCACACGTTTCGTGCCCCACCAATGGGCTCCACCGGAAGTCCCAACGGCGCAGCACGCATGCGTCCGCGCCACACATGTTGGCACACCCCTCACACGCTTCGTGGCACCATGGGGCGCTCCACCCAAGGCCCCAATGGTGCCGTTCGCATGCGCCCCCGCCACCTATTTCGGCACACCCCTCACATTGTTCGTGGTCCCATCGGAATGTACACCTGAGGCCCGGATGGCACAAATAGTATGCGCTCCCGACCACCGCCGTTACGGCATCTCCTCACACGCTTCCCAGAAGAAGCTCCACCGAAGCGATAATCACAACGCGGTATTCACTGCTGCATGTGATGGGTTCTTCGCCAGGATACTTTGAGGGAGCCTACTCAATGCAATCTATGTGGTGCGAACTGTGGTGGTGCAATATATGCAAAACAACATATGTCAACCGCAATATAGATGGTATGCACTATGTGGTACAACATGTGCCGTGCAACCTGTGCGGTGCAATGTATGTGGTGTTATCTATGTGGTGCTAGATCCTTGATTGTATATAGGTGTGTCGAAACACAGCTGTGGTGTAAAGCGAAATACATGTGACCAGAAAAATGTGGGGCAATGTCTGTAGTGCAAACAAAAACTGTGCAGCAAGTCTGGTGCAATGTATGTGGTGCAATATATGTGCGGCAATCCGCATGGTGCAATCTATGTTAAGCACTTTACGAGGTCCGAGATACGTGGTGCAATCTATGTGGCGTAAGTTCTGCGGTGCAATATACGTGATGTAAGCTATACGGCGCAATCAATGTAAAGGAATCTACGTGGTGCATTATACGTGGTGCAGTCTATGGGGCGCATACGGTGTGGGCAGTGGATAAGGAACCCTTAGATAACCAATCCAGGGTCTGGAAGCCAGTGGAGCTCCAACCGTGGATCGGCCATGGATATCCCCGCCGCCCCCATTGGGTAAGGCATCCTCCGGGGTCTGGCGCCTCCTGGAACGATTCCTTCACAGACGCCTCCACCGTACTGCGTGGTGCACTGAAAAAAAAAATCGTGACCAACATTTGCCGCGACGGACGTCGGCGACGGGCGACCACAAGCCGGCGGGACCGGCGCACAGGCCCGCATTGTGCGGCGGCGGGAGGCGGCCATGGGCGGCAACAAACGGGCCGGACCGATGAGCTCATGGGACAAGCAAGGACGCCCGAGCGCAAGCACCGTTTAGGCGATTTGGGCATCCTGGGGCCCTCCTCGAAGCCTGCTGGAGCCAGAACCTTTCCAACAAACCAGCGGAACATCAGCAAAGTTTTCTTCCTCTCGAGGCCCTTTCGCGGGCCTGTTGCACTCGCTCGCGCGGTCCTTGTGATCTCTTCTGGTCAGCTTGACGCCATCCAAGAGCCTCCTTGGCCAGGTCGGTCCATTGGCGGCCTCTTGGCGCCCACTGGAGCCGCCCTGGAGGTCTCTGGGGGGCCCCTCCAAAGGCCGTGAAAACGGCCCGCTGGCCCTGGGGACTGCCGCCTGGCGCAGAGTGGGTGGGGGAGTTTTGCAAAAGTGGGGGCTCCCAGGCCAGGGGACCCAATCGCTGGTTACGTTATACACGCACTACAGGAGAAGCCCAGAGACTCCGAAGTTGAGTGGTGGGCGTCGACACCCAGGAGGAGCTCCGTTGGAGGTACTGTCAGGTCGAAGGGGACTCCCGGGGAGTAGCCACAAATAACTTGAAACCTAAAAAGAGTCCGCGCGTCTAATCTCGAAGCTCTCGGGCACGCTTCTGGGCTTCTTCGGCGAGTGTACGCTCACCTCGACAAGCTTCCGGGCAGCGAAACGACCCTGCGAGCTGCGGATCCAGTGGCGGATTGCACCGTGAGCCTTGCGCACGACGTCCAGGGCTTCCCTGCGATGCCGCTCCTCTTCAAATACAGTGCCCTCTTCAACCTTCATCTGCACCCCGAGCAGGAAAACCTTTGAGCCTATATCCAGCGGGGAGATGTGGAGAAGATTGCTGAAATTCGAGCCGTCTGCTCTACAGTTGGGGACCACGCCCAGGAAAGGGGTGTGTTCACGGGTTGCCCGTCTCATGCCCTCGCGCGTCTCAGGCAACACCTCCTTCGTCCGCTTTGCGCTCAAGAAGCGACAATTCCTCCCCACTATGTCATCCTCCCTGAAGCCAGTGAGGGCAGTGAAGCCCCTGGAAACTGCGACGATGGGGCAATCGCCTTTGGTTGGGTCTGCCACGCAAACCGCGGTGGGCATCATATGCACAACGCTGCTGCAAAGGGCTTCGAGTAACTCCTCCTCATCGCCTCCGGCCGACTCCTGGATCTTGTCCAACGAGTGCCCTCTGCCAATCGTCGAGCTGCTCTTCGAGCCGCTGCCGCTCCACATGCCCATTACCTTGAGGAACTGCACCTCGCTGGCGCTGGAGTGCCACAGGACACGCTCGTCGCAGCCCAGGTCCATCTGGAACCAGGGGTGCTGCACAGCCTCTGCTGAGCTGATGCGCGATGCAGGGTTGGGCAACAGCATGGAATCGAGCAGGTCACAGCCGCTCTGACTGACTTTGGACGTGGTCAGGCTCACGTCCGGGCCGTCCCACACCGTCTTCAAGTGCTCCGAGATGTGCCGAATGTTCAGAGGAACGTGCAGGGCAGTTGTTAATACATAGGATGTTTTTTGTATAAAAACATAGAATCTTTAATACATGAGTAATTTATGAGTAAACTTCTGCATAAACTCATCCTTGCATGTATTAATCAACCCTTTATTTATAATATATGGTCCGCACGCGGAGCATGTATAAAAAAACGGCACTGTACAATGACATAATCACCATTTTTAGGCTACACGCAGGAGTGCCCCTGGGTAAGAGTGACCTTTGGTGCGCGACTTTTTGGGGGCCGCGGGGGGACCAAACCTGGGCGCGCAAGCAGCTGCTACTGCCTCGTTTTCGGCCATCCGGGGGCCCATCTGTGCCCGTACCAAAGGTCACTCCGGCGAAAGGTCACTATTACGCCTACACGTGGTTCATTTCTAATCGTGCTCATTTCAAATTGTGCTCGTTCCCAGTTGTTCCTGGCCCCCCAGTGGCCAGGAAGAGGCCCAGGACAGCAGAATTGGCAACGAAAGGCTCTTGGCTCCCCAGAAAGTCAAAGAACCCTCGAAGAATGAGACATGAACAATGTGTAGCCGAACAAAGACGCAATCATCAACTCTCGGAAGCCCGCTCGGACTCTCTCGGACCAGGCGCCGCATCCTCCCTCCCCCTAGCGCGCGGGGAGCGCGCCGGGAGCGGCGCTGGAGGCGCCGCCGGGGGGTCCCCCGCGACGCTCCGAGAGAGCCGCGCGGACCTCCGATGCCTTCTCCCAGTCAGTGCTTGCACTGAAGGGGTCCTAACGGATATATTGTGAAAACTTTGGCGACAATTTTCCGCCGATTTGGGTGGTCGCCTGGGTCCCGGGTTCCCAGTTCCGGCTTCCCGGGGTCCTGGTTGTTGGTTCCGGGCCGATTTCGGTGGGTTCCGGATTCCCGGGCTCCCAGTCGATCTCCTTCTCGATCTCCTTATCGATCCCACGATTCGTCAAACCATCCACTGATTGGGATCTTTCTCTGGTGTAATTGTAATTTATGTCACCTGCTGTCCCTCGAATGTTGACGGGCGCCCGGAAAGGCGGGGAGCCCGTGAAGAGGATGTACAGCACAACGCCAGCCGAGAAGACGTCCGCGTTGGCTCCGTAGGAGCCGCGGCGGGCGAAGCACTCTGGGGCGATGTAGCCCGGCGTGCCCACGGTCCCGCTGGCGGAGGCCAACTGGCAGCCGAGGCCAAAGTCAACAAGCTTCAGATTGACGTCGCAACGAGTGCCCGGCTCGGCGCCCAAGCGCTGGACCATCAGATTTTCGAGCTTCACGTCGCGATGCACAAGGCCGATGTCGTCGTGGATGTAGCGCAGGGCCTCGAGGGTCTGCCTGATGATCGCTCGACCCATCGACTCACACCACGTGCGCTCGATCAACAGATGCTCCACGAGCTCGACACCATGGCACCGCTCCATGACGAAATAGAAGTTCGTGCAATCTGCAACAAACTGCTGATATCTCACAACATGTCGATGGTCCAGTCGCAACAACTGGGACATGTAGTTGCGGAATTCGATCGCCTCTTCCGGCCTATCTTCTGTCGTGTGCTCTACAATTCTGGAGAAATCACCGTTGATGGAAACACGCTTCCGCGCACTGGTGGTGGCCTCTCTGATCAGAGGGTGCGCCTCCTTGGGGACCATCTTTACGAGGAGCATGCAACCACCCTTGGATTCCGTGACTATGCCATTCTTCTGGCGGCACTCGTACACCCGTCCGAAAGTACTGGTCGCAACGTGCCGGTGCAACTCGTACAACTTTTCGAACGGCTCCCGCACGAACGGATCGACTTCTCTCTTTTCTATGCACATCTTCTTGCCGATCAGACCGCACATGCAGGTCCGGAGGCAATGCCAGAGGTGTCCGCGGTATCCCCGTCTCAAGCAAAGCGCAAGGAGTCGCCATGACGGGATCGCGACCGACGCGAGAAGTGCCAAGAACCAAGCGGGTGGGAAGTGTCTTGCACGGGCGAATGCCTTCGACCTCACCACCACTCCTGAGGGGAATAAAACGGACATCCTGTTCGGACGCGAGGTTGCGATCTTGCCACAGCTTGGTACATCACTCTTCGGCCAAAATGGCTTGAGACTTGAGCCAAATTGGCTAATTACGAGGCGTCTTCGGCCTTGGACTGGGGGGGCAGTGGGAGGCGCAGACTGAAAGCGGTAGGAGAGTCTAGCTAACAAAAACTAGCTTGCGCGCGAATGTCTCAAGATCTGGCTGCAACAGGCATGCAACTACTCGGGCCGCTTCGTGGTACCAAGCCAGGGTGGATCCTTCCCCGGCCCTGGCCATGAACGCCTAACAGGTGGATCCGACTTGATAAATCTGGTCGACGTCGTTGTGCTCAACACGTTGTCAGATGAGCTAAGAGGGAAGGGGAGAGGAGAAAGACCAGGCGAGAGAAGAGGGGAATGTGTTGCGCGTGTCATATTGATTGATGTTTTCTTTTTAGGGTCGGAAAAGAACATGCGATACCAGCAGTGCGCACCTAAACGCAAAAGCAAGAGGGGGGAGAGGGAGGACGAGCATGAAGAGAAGAGGATGGAAGTGGAGGGAGGAGGGCATAAAGTAATTGAGCCCCCCCTGGGCCCAACGAGGTCCTAAGTTGAGCGTCGTGACTGTGTGCCCCGAGCCCAGACCTTGGAGCCTGTGCGTACCGAGTGACAAATACGAGCCAGTGCAGCTTTGAGGCAGAAGTATAGAGGAGCCGAGGGGGGTGAAGCGGGATCGGGACCGGCAGGGAGGAAGAGAGGGGAGTGAGTAATTCAGTAGCGTCTGCCTTTTCTGATGAGAGAGGGCCTCTCCACAATTCTCGTGTTGTCGGTTTCCCTCTGGAGCGGTTGTGGGATTTGTCTGGGCGAGGTATGGACAAGTTCATTGGGCTTGGCTGGATTGGGGATACGTGTGATGTTGTCTTGCGCCTTGTGGGCGAATGTTGGGCTGCCTCCCTTAGCTCCCGTGTTGTCCTCATCCCAACAGGGAACGTCGTGGGCGTTACCAGTGTAGTAGATTGGATAGCAGGGGGGAAGAGGTGTGCTCGGAACGCATGCGGAAAGCTGCAGCCCGTCATGGAGCCGTGCAGTGCAGAGCAGTGCTGGAGGGCCCTTGGGACACCCCGACACCCTCCGAAAGCCTCGGCGGAGGAGGAGGAGGAAAACGGGAAGGAGGAGGAGGAGGAGGAGGAAAAGGGGGATGAGGAAGAAGAGGAGGTGGAGGAGGAGGAGGAGGAGGAGGAGGAAGAGGAGGAGGCGGAGGCGGAGGAGGAGGAGGAGGAAGAGGGGCAGCGGCAAGGACGGCGGCAGGTACCACGAGGAGGGGAGCCTCTCTTGGGGCGCCCTGGGCCGCTCCCTTGGTAGCTTCGCGCGGGGGCGCTGCGGGGCCTCCGGGAGGCCGCCGGGAGGCCCGTGGGGTCCTCCCGGAGGCGATGCGGCGCCCTCGGGGGGGCGTGAAGAATATACACCACCAACACTCGCCATCGCTCGGACGTCCATTCCCTGTGTTTTTTGTTCGGTTTCGTGCGTGGCTTTTTCGCAGGATTATCCAGGACGCTCCTTAAAAATCCCCGCCGAGAAACAATGCACACGTCCGAGCGATACCAAGACCGCGTCGATTCCTCCTCCCTCCTCTACCCTCTTTTTCCCCTCCCCCGTTCCTGGGAGAGGGAGGGGAGGGGGAGGGAAAGGGAAACGGAGGTGGTGTGGATGTTTGGGCCCCGTATCCTGGGGGCTTCCGGGGGGGGGGGCGTCGGGGCCCTCTGCAGGGAGCTGCTCGGCGGCCTGGCGCCGTCGGATGCCGTCTGAGAGGCTCCGGGCAGCCACTGGGCAGCGTCGTGGGTGTCGTCTGCGGTGGGAGCACTGGACAAAGGAACCCTTCGGTAAGGGATCCAGGGTCTGGAGACCAGTGCAACTCCAACCGAGGCTCGGCCATGGACGTCACCGCCGCCCTCATGAGGTAAGGTACCCTCCAGGGTCTCAAGCCTGCTGGGCTCACTCCTTAACCAGCGCCCCCTCCCCATCCATGCGACTGCCTGGTTTTTTCAGGACGGCGCCCCTGGAAATCCCGACTCTTTCCCCAGGACCGGTTTTTCGTCCTCAGTCGTTTTTTGACGGTCCCGAGGCCCGGCGAGGGCCCCCCCCGGGGCCGTAGATGGCCAAAAACCTCCCGTCCTCATTTGTTGACGACGCGATCATGTCTGGGTCTGCATCTTCTGCAGTCTGGGGGCCCTCCTGGGCTGTCCTGGGGCCACCCTGGAGGCCTCTCGGGCCGAGAGAGAGAGAGAGAGAGAGAGCGACTCGGGAGGAGGAGCTGGTCCGAGGGGAAGCCCAGGGGTCTTGGACGACCCAGTTCCCTTCCCGGCGGAGAAGGAGCGAGGCAGGACGGGAGGGAGGGAGGAGGCAGGGCGGGGGGGAGAACAAAAGAAGCAAAGAGGAAGAAGGGGGGAGAGAAGGGGGGGGGGGTGAAGGGGGGGACCTCATCCTCCTCCCTCCCTTTCCCCCCCCCTTCCCAAGAGCACTCGTGATAGAAGGCTGCGGACGCCAGCTTTCAGACGGTCGTCGAAGGGTTGACCACCACGTGGGACGCGCTGAAGGGAAGCATATAGAAGAGGGGGCGAGGGAGAGGAGGGGAAGAGTACGCCTGGGGACACCATTGGATTCTCAGAAGCCTCCTTTGGGGATCTTGGGGCCTTGACGCATCCTGTCGTATTTCCCCATTCAGTGCTTGCGATGGGGATCCCTACAGAAGAT